ATTATGACTACTTCTGCAGATAGATTTCCACTTGACAAGACTGGAAATGCAGTATACAAAAGACAGTTTACATTTTAAACTTATATGACTTGAACTTTGGAGTGCTGGTCATATGTGTGGAGGAGGAAAGATGTGGCCATCTGTTGCATGTAAAGACTATTTACTGTCACAGTAGCACAGGCTACAGAAATGTAGCCAAGAGTGTTTTACCTTATTTTGAGTTAGCAAATCATCAGGATTTTTTTGGGGTTATATTCACTTCATATGCAGGAAGGTGCAGGTGTTTCCCTTAATGTGTGTGCAGTGTAGGTTAGTACAAGCTGATAAGAGTCATTCCTCTTTGTACTGACTGGCTTGGGGAGGTTGACAAAGCACTGAGTGATAACTCTCTATTCAGAGAAAGGCCTGCCTACTTTGTGAATTTCTGTTCTAGTTGGAGAAGTCCTTGACAATCACCTTTATTTTTAAATCTATTTAAATAGTATTTTTGTGTATCTCTGCTTGCTGGGTTAAGTGTGCTAGCTAGCAACACAGAAGTACACAGTTGGTATCTCATACAGACAGCTGACTCAGCTGATCCAGGTACAGTAACATGGATAGAGATGAAGAAAACTACTATGGAAAACATGGTAATTTACTTGCTTTCTTAGAACAATTCAAAACACCTTATCTAAATCTTACATATTTCAACTGTGTAATTTCAATGGACTTAAATGGGCTTGAATGCAGACTCAAATGGTTTCCTGTAACTTCTTCAATTATTAGCAATATTGTAATTTTTTCACGCATGCCATTTGCTAGTTTATTTAAATTGCGCATCAAAGGTAAGTTTTATATGTGTATATTGTCGATTTTTACTTTAGGTGAGTAATTTAGAGTTGCTCTTTAAAATTATTACAGTGATAAAGTGTAACAATTAACTTAATATGCTATTTGGAGTCAGAATTTGTAAATACCTTGTCAGTTATTTCTGGTAATGATATTTTACTTCAACATACAAAAGTTTCGTATTATAAGGCAGCCTGTAAAATAGATCTGTCTCATCTGCAAAGAAAAAATATAATCCCAGTTTTTAATTTTAGCGAAAGGTGTAAGTCTCCCCTCACCACTGCTTTCTTCCTCATGTCTACCAAACTCCTAAAGCTTGGAATTTGCTTTCTAAATATATTTGGACTTTTATAGCTGGGGAAGTGGTTTGCTTTTACCAGGAGCAATGTAGATACTAGAAACATAAATAATTCCCACCTCACCCCCCCCCCCCCAAAACATCTTCTGAATTTTTAAAGAATAGTAGTAATAAAGTAGATAATTTGCATTTAATTTAGAATTAAGCTAGAAAACTTAGATTAAACAAATGGCATTTTTCTTTTTTTTCTGTTCCATGAAACTGATCACAGTTGTGATCAGCTGTAACAAGTGTTCCAGGGATCCAGACTAATTCTGACAGTGAAATCAAGTGTATTTTGAACTTAGAATGTTGTTACTGTTTCTTACCATATTCTGTAATGAATTTATACCAAGAGCTCAGTGACAGAGGAGGTGGTTTGAGCCGTGTTGTCCAACACTGTGCCACCATAAGCATGCAGACTGCTGGTGTGAGGAACAGCTCTTGGAAGGAACTTGCAGTACTGCAGTAATTTTACAGCTGTTAGTGGCTGTTACTTCTGTTTCTCAGCATCTGTCTTCTGGCTTGTTGGAGATGAGAGTCTCCATTTGAATTAGATCTCCCTTCCTGTAGGGCTTTGTTTTTATTCTCTTATTTATTAGATCCATTTGGTTCTCTGTGTGCTGAGATGTTACATTTTCCTGTTCTCAAGTGGTATTTGTATAATCCTTTCTTAAAAACTTAGTGTGATGAAAATTCCAGTGTGGGATTCAGTATATGATTGTGAACCCTGAAAAATTTCCTAATGCCTAATCTAAACCATCCTTGCTGCAACTGAGGTTAGCTTATCTAAGTGGTAGAGGAAACAGAACTACTGATCATTGTAAATTTTTCATGGTGATTGAAGACTGTTATTTTGTGCTCCTTTGCTTAATCGCAGGCATTGAAGTTGCATTCATTTACTGCTTTCTCTAAACCTCCTAGTATCTTCTTTCTAATGAGTCCCACTACTCTCTCTATAAATTTGTTTGTATCTTCTGAATATACAAGAAGATATTGTATATCTAGAATATTTCTATTCTATATGTAGAATAGAAATGACTATTTCTATATCAGTGCCATGATCTAGAAATAGTTATTCATTTGAGGCCTCACATGCTCCCAAGCACAAGGAATAATGACTTTTTCAATCATGTTCGTACATCTTGAAAGAGTGGTGCTTTTTTTGCAGACATTGCTTGGCTGACTCATTCTCTCTTTGTAGTGTGCTCTAATCCTTTAGGAGTCTTCTCAGCAGTGTTTTTGAAATCAGTTGTTCCTTATAGATTCCTGGATAGAGTTTGCCTTTACAACTTTTGTTACTTTACAAAATTCGCTTTGAAGTGTTGTTTATAAAAATCCTTTTTGATAAATACCTCTGTCTCCAGAAGTATTTTAACACTTGTCACCTGCACAGTTTCAAAATGATCATTCTACTTAATTGTTCTAATTTTTAAGGAGAACATTGAATAACTTTGGAGACTAGGCTCCTCCAGTACTGGGATTGAGCTAACTACTAAAATTCAAGAGTGAGAACTTGGAGTCTTAATGGGTGACTCAATAAAATGTTTGCCCATAAAAGCAAGTAGACTGCTAGAATTGTTAGGAATGGACTGAAGTCAGATAGAAAGAGTCATTATGGGATTATATAAATCACATCCAATGTTTGTGGTGAATATCCTGTGCCATTCTGGCCCCTCCTTTTCTAGTGATCTGTAGTAGCTCTGTAAAGGGCAAGAAAAGGAATATAAGCATGACCAAAACTATGAAATGGCTTATGTCCAAGAAACATTTGAGCAGACCAGGACATTTGAGTATAATAATTTGTAACATTTTTGTTAGCATAACATGCTGCCGTGTTACACAGTACAGTAATAAACTGATTGCAAGCTTAAAACAGATAAAAGGAGGTAGTACTTCAATGTTTGATTGACTTGTAGTACTCTGTGATGTAGAGCATTGCAGATTGTTAAAGTATATGCAAGGTAAACAGAGATTCCTTGAATCTCAGTTTTTCAATGAATGAAAAAGAAATTCACTCAGAGCTATTAAATGCAAAGTCAGTACTTTTAGTTAAGAAAAATGCAGGTAGAATTCTCTGTGAAATCAGTGTTGGGGAAATACTACAGTGTTTGCCTTGGTGCTGCATTCCTCCTCAGAAATGGTCCCTTGTAACGTTCAGGGTGTGGATTCGGTGGGTTTTTTTGTGTGATCTGGTGTGGCTGTTCTTATGTGCTCAACAGATCCTGTAAGAGCAAAGAACTGAAGTTCAGCTTCAGTGTGCTTAAAGCCAGAACCTGTCTGTGGGGTGTGATGTTACATATGGTTTTGTTCTGGTGGGGAATTATTTTGTAGTAGAAATACTTGTTTTGTAGGAATTTCTGTTCAGAATTGTTCATTCAATATACAGGTGTTTGCCCAACATTAGGTATTGTGTATGGTACATTTGCTTTCCTGACCATGCATCGCAGCATAGCTTGTTCCACTCCCTAGCAATGCTGTCATACATCACTTTTCTAAAGTTTTAATTTTTTTGGTCTCTTCTGTATTAAGATATTTTTGTTGCAGGAGCTTGCTCAGGTGGATCTGAGTACCTCAGATGAAGGGCAAATAGGATTTTATTAACTGCTGTGTTTATTGTACTGCTCTGTGTGAGTTTTGATAAGGTTTTTCTGATACAAACCAAGAACAAAGTCAGGCATGTAGTTAATAAGCAAATTCTGCTTTTGAGAAATTGCTGACTTGTTCTCTAATTGACAAGAATAAGTATTTTTCTTTGGGGCCGTGGGGAGGAAATTTAGGCTGGTAGCACCATGTAATACCAGGGATATTCAGATGAGGAAATCCTTAAGAAAGCAGTGAAAAAGCACTCTGAAGCAGTAATTTGTGTTGTAGCTTTGACATTTGAATGAAGGAGTAATTTTTCATTGCACAGAATTTTGTTCACTAAATCTTCACAATCACTGAACTTTGTAAGGAAAAAGTCCCCTAAAGCTGAATAGCTAGCTTCAAAAGGAAAAATCCAAATTCTGGTCTGCTGAATGAAAAGCTGCTTGTTTCTCTTCATACAGTAACCCAATCTTGAAAATTTTTATTTGACTGTAATTATTTATTACGCTTTACCAAGTGAGATCTACTTTAATTTCTCTTATTCAGGTCCCCATGGGAAGCACTGGTTGGTGGGTTAGTATTTGGTGGGTTTTTAATATAGGGTTTTTTTAATGTTGAGTGAATCAGTTGGAACTGTGCTAACCAGGATAGCCACATGAAAAACAGATTGCCAATGGACCCTGTGGATGCCCCAACCCTTGCAGTGTTCAAGGGCAGGTTGGATGGGGCTCTGAGCAGCCTGGTCTAGGAGGAGGTGTCCCTGCCCATGGCAGGAGGTGTTGGGACTATATTATATTTAAGGTCTCTTGTAACCCTTTAACAATCTGTGATTCTGGAGGAAAATCAGAAGCTCTTAGCCTGTAACTGCAGAGAGCTGGGTTCGTTTACTTGCTGTCAGACACACTTAGCATGTGACTGGGAGGCATAATCCTTGTCTCTCAAATACATTGTGAGCCTGTGCATAGGCATAGTGATAGGATGTACATTAAAGGTAACTTATTACATTGTAAATGTGAGGCCCTCAATATTTTTAAGTTGGAAGAAAAAAAGCTTTAATCTCATATACAAAACCTAGGTAATTTTATTGGTGAATTACTGGTATTGCCCATATGAAATGATTTTAAGAAAAATGATTAAATATTAATATATGGAAGATGCTCTTCAAAGGCTGGTGTTAACATCCCCTTCTGGACAGATTTTATTTTAAATAATGACATGCTTTTATACTCTTTTGTTTTAAATGCAGGTGAACCAAGGAAATTTGACCCGAAGTTCAGAGGACCTATTCATAACAGGTAAATATCATAACCCACTCTGTTAAATTCTTTTGGTGAACAGGAGTTAAAAATTTTTTTAGCAAAACTTGTGAATTTGATTCTGCAAGTCTTCTAAATCCAGACCACCATCTTTACTACCCTTGAGGATGGATGATTGCTTGGGAGTATTAAGCTGTGTGCTCTTAAGTCCTTTTAGTTTGAATGCCAAGTCTGTGTGCCTTGCACTGGCTAGTATCTGCCGTCTAACATGTGTAGTAGTTCTGATACCCCTCTTTGTGACAGAGCCACCTAACAGAACAATCTGGCTTGACTTCACTTAGTTTTATGAAATGCACACGAAAGCATGTCACCACTTAGAAGGTTCATTACTTTACAAGCAGAGTGAAATTGCTCAGAAAGCATCTAAGGAAATCACGGAATCATTAAGGTTGAAAAATACCTCCCAGATCATCAAGTCCAACTTTTAATCATGGGCAATTTTTCAGTGTTTTTCCAGATGTAGAGAGCTAAGTTCTAAACTAGCATTTAGTGCTGTTACTGAGAAGAACAAATTAGAGAACCACAAGTTACTTCAGTTTTACCATTCTCAGGAGAAAATTTATGACAGAGAAGCACACTACAGACTTGTCATACTATCATTTGAACACAAACACGCTATCCTTGTCTACACAGGATGTACTTCCTCTCTGAAAGCTAATAATTTTAGAAATAAATAGAAATACTTGTTTACGGAGTTTGTCCTAATTTGTGAAGTATCTTTATGTTATTGCCAGTGTATCAAGCCAAGCTTGAGTGGTGTCAGAACTGCTTCTGGATGGAGGATGGGGAAATAAGAAGCATTGTTTTAGCATTGCATCTTCAATTTTGAGCAGTTGTCCTATCTTAGGTTACTGTCATATTGACCCTGGATCCTGTACCATCTCGACCTCACCAAAAGTTATTTCAGTGAGATTATAAAGCTGTTACTCTCTAAAGAAGTGTCCACACTTGGAAACACATTTCAAGTTCTCCAGTAGTTTAAAAAATCTGTTCCCGTCATCTCTTTTATGTTAAAAATGTTTCTCTGTAAGAGAGACATGGATTGGAAAACAGAAAGAATGGCAGATTCTAAAAATTAATTCTGAGGCAGATGTCCTGTAGTATGTCTTGCCACTTATATCATCACTTTTATGGTAAGTGATCTCATGGGTTCAGTGTTGTAAGGTATTACTTGTTTCAACATCTGTTCTTCAATATGTTCCGTTGTCTGCAGCAAAAAAAGCATACACATTTATTTGCTGGTCTTGCTGCAAAAACAGGACTTTACACCTCAAACGTGAATTTGTGACTAAAATTTCTGCAAAGTGCTTGTGCAGATATCTTACTCAGATGTTAAAATACCATATGACAATCAGTGGTTTTGAAGGGTCATATTAAAGATTTTATTTTTAAAAAGTGTTTCTTGCCCCTAGGCACTGCACAGATATTATTTGCTGTGTGATCTTCATAGTTGTCATTCTGGGTTACATTGCATTAGGAGTTGTGGGTAAGTAAATAGAGGTATAGTAATGCCTTTTCATATAGATGGGAAGCAGCTTTGTGAATGTTGGAATTTTTTTATTGAAATGTCCCTTTTGCTAATATTAGTGCAAAGCTTTCCAGTCAATAAGTGATGCCTTTCACAGAAGCAAGTAATGAATTAACATTCAGTATCTATTGTAATTCACAGAAACATAGACTGGGTGAGGCTGTAAGGGACCACAGTGTGTCATCTGGTCCAACATCCTCGCTCAGAAGGGTCATCTCAGAGCGTATGGTGCAGGATTGTGTCCAGATGGTTCTGGAATATCCCCTGTGAAGGAGACTCCACACCCTGTTTGGGCAATCTGTTCAAGTGCACAGTCACTGCACAGGGAAGAAGTTCTTCCTCATCTTCAGATGGAACTTGCTGGGCTCAGTCCCTTCCCGTTTCTCTGGTGCCATTGCTGGGCCCAGAGCAGAGCCTGGTTCATGCTCTGCCCCCTCCCTGCAGTGCTGACAGACAGGGCTGGGGGCCCTCTCAGCTAGGGCTCTCTCCTGGCTGAGCAGCCCCAGATCCCTCAGCCTTGGCTGGGCACAGAGATGCTCCAGGCCCTCACTCAGCTCTGCAGCCTCCACTGACCCTGCTGCAGGAGCTCCCCTTGTCCCAGTGAGCCCACAGCAAGCACTCCAGAGGTGCTTCACAGGATCAAGCAGAGAGGCAGAGCAGAGATCCCTCCCTGACCTGCTGCAAGTGCTCTTCCTGAAGCATGGCAGGATCCCATCACCCTCTTGGCCCTGAGGTTTAACTGCTGGCTCAGAGAAAGCTTGTTGTCCCCCAGGGCCTCAAGGTCTTTCTCTGAAGAAGTATCTTTATGTTGAGCTGTATCTTTATGAAGAGCTGCTTTTGTGCAGGTAATTAGGGAGAAGTTCAAAGCCATGTGTTTACTGATAAAAAACCCCACTCAAAATTAGGTGTGTTTAAAAAAAATGACACGGTTTGGAAAGTTTGCAATTATAAAGTAACTGTGATGGAAAATTTCAGGTAGCAGAGAAAATTTCAGAAGCTAGAGAAAAACAATTTGGGTTGAGAGGAGCCCTGAGGAGAAGGAATTGTCAATGCGAATTGGTAAGGTTTGGGCATGAGCCAGCCACGTACACTTGCAGCCCAGAAAGCCAAATGTGTCCTGGGCTGTGTTGAAAGAAGGGTGGTCAGCAGGGCAAAGGAGGGGATTCTGCCGCTCTTGTCAGACCCCATCTGCACTCCTGCATCTGGCTCTGGGCCCCAGCACAGGAAGGACATGGACATGGAGCAGTGAGTTCAGAGGAGGAGTGCTCTGAGGACTGGAATTCCTCTGCTGTGGAGGCAGGCTGATGAGTTGGGGTTGTTCAGTGGGGAGAAGGGAAGGTTCTGAGAGCTCTTAGAGCTCCTTCCAGTGCCTAAATGGTCTCCAAGAGAGCTGGAGAGGGACTTTGCGCAAGGACAGGAGTGACAGGGCACAGAGAAACGGCTTGTAAACTAACAGAAGGCAGAGTTAGGTTAGAGATTAGGAAGAAATTTTTCCCTGTAAGGGTGGTGAGGTCCTGGCCCTGGTTGCCCAGAGAAGCTGTGGCTGCCCCATCTCTGGAAGTGTTTGAGGTCAGGCTGGAAGGGACTTGGAGCATTGGATTGCTTTCTTACAGTTTAATCCATATCTTAGTAGAACTTACTGTGCTTTGCATTTTCATATTTCATTAGGAAATCTACTAATCAGTACTCTTCAGTGTTGATCTACAAAGTGTAAAATGGTACTTTACAAGTGATACATTTTCATACTAGCTAATTTTGATCATTAACTATGAACAGTTGACTAGTATCTTAAGAGGTATTGTGTATTTTGCAGCTTGGGTGCACGGGGACCCCAGGAAAGTGATTTATCCAACTGACAGCTATGGGCAGTTCTGTGGTCAGAGAGATACCCTCAATGAGTGAGTACTAAATCCATTCACATGCCTTTATTAGTCGTGCACTGTGAATAAGATGTGAGGTTTCAAGTCTCTGTCAAATAGACAGTGACACTCTTTCTGTATTTATTCCAAATAAAGCTCAGAAATGTATTAATTTCCCAGTGCAAATCCAGATCCAAATTATTACTGTAAGGCAGTTGTTTCTGTCCTTTAGAGAATATTTTTTGTAAGGTTTCAATATAACTTAAAGATTGTGTCAGCAGTTGCATAGAAGGTGACTAGCTGGCACAGCTTGTAACTGCCAAAGTTTGGGTAATTCATAACCTGTTGTGTAATTCTTCATCCACCTTGGGATAAAAGAAGTCTTAAGGCATTTTAGCCTGGTCTATAGTTTTTGTCAATATGCACCAAATAACATAAAAGTCTGTAGTGAAAGGCTCTTGTTTTTTTTCCTGTGCCAGTAGAAAGGAGACTGAGTGGTCTGGGAGATGAGCAGCCGTAACTACATCCTCCTTGGAAAACAGGAGGAAAATAGAGCTAAATGGCTCTATTTACTTGTCTCTGTTTTTGTCATTTTAGATTTTGAATTGTAAGAGTTAAATTAGTTAGTTGATACCAACAGAGTAATTACACATGAAAATAGTTGCTCAGGGAAGAAAGGTGTTGCATCTATGTTTTCTTTAAAAATCTAAATGGTTTATGAAACAGAATTTTAAAAAGGTTTGCTTCTTCACCCACTGTCTTCCTTTCAAAAGGTAAGTTGTAGGCATGCCTTATGCCCTCATCACTGTCAAGAAGCTGGATGCTATGCTAGTGTTTGATAACAATCCTTTGCTGCTTCTTTCTTTCTCCATTTAGTTTTCTGTGGAAAAAAATTTGCAAGCCACTGTCCAAAGAGCAGTTCAGAAGGGGAGGAGCAGGAAATAGAGACTAGCACAGAAGTAGAGCTAGGCCTATATATCCTCTCAAGTTTTTTTTACAGGGGAGACAGGCTAGTGAAAGAAAACCTGTTCCACACTCAGGACTATTCTTCATAGCAATTGTTGGAGAGTCAAACTTCCTGAAGAGGAAAAGCAAGGAGGAAAAAGTTGTAGTGGCGTGTGTGTTCCCCTCACTGCAGCACTTCTATGCTCCCTACCATGCTGGCAACTTGTCCTTGTCCCCTCTGTCACCAGTAGGAAGTAGAGGACAAATGACTTTGGGAGTTCAGACACACAGCTTCAATATCCTGTGTGATGTGGAGCCAGGTGTTTCTCTCTGATTCTTACCATTCACTCCCATTCCATCTTTCTGTATGTTACTTGAGTCTTCCCTTTAGTTATTTTTTACACTGTGAGTTTCGGTTTGTATTTACAAGTGACCCTCCCTATATAGGATTGCTGGAAAATAATACAGCTACTGAGACTGCATTTTGGCATTTGTTTGGTACATTGAGGAGATTCTTATAAAAATCTAAAGAATACACATAATACAACCTACCAGAAAAGCAAGAGTGTTTATGGCAGTAGGCCAGGATGCTCCTCTGAAAGAGTCCCTCTAGTCCCCGGAATGGGGCTGAGGATGTGCTTGTGAAGCTTTTGTCAATACCACTGTTTTTCAGATCTCCTGAAAGTAAGCAATGTGAAAGATTCAGCCAGAGCTGTGGTATTCTGAAGTCTCCAAGGGTTTAGTCTGAGACATTTTTCTTGGAAAATAATCACAGTCTTTGTGTTTTGAATCTTGTCCTTGTAACAAGTATTTTCAGTAATCTCACTGAGTAGAAAAGGCAAGTTAGAAACAAAGCCAACATTCACGGCTTGTGCAAAAACCCATTTGAACTCCATAGAATGCCATGCAGTCAAATGAATTATTTTTGTATCATCATGAAATTCTTCTGTTAGACCTCTTCATGTCTTCCTGTGATCTCTCCATTAGTTGATGTGTAATCTCTGAACTCGTTTTGCATTCTACAGAGCATAATGTACTAATGGAATACAACACAGTTTCATTATACAGAATACAGATCTAATTCTCAGTGTGTGTTTTCATGTGTTATGTATATATTTAAACTTTCTTTTCTGTTGTCAATACCAGCAAGTGGGCTAAGAAAAAAAAAAAGAATTAATTAATGGTTTTGAGCAGCTCACAGATCATAAATACTATCAAGAAACTATTGAAGAATGATGGCATTTCAGTCCAAAATTGTATTCTACTAATTCAAAGAAAGAGCAACTAGTGGTGGTGAATTAGTTTTGCCAGAATGTGTCTTTTCTTAAACAGTGCATAGCAGAATGAATATACCTCAGTGAAAACAAGTTAGCATTGTAAAAAATGTCAGGCAGTTGAGTTGATCCCAGTTTTAAACGGAGTTTGAATGTGCAGTGGTGCTAAATAGTGTCTTTGATGGTATAGCCCTGTTTAGCAATTGGTGGGAGTCACATGCTGGTGGGAAAACAGAAGATATGAACCAGTCTGGGGGATACAATGAGATGTAGAAGCAGGACTGATGTTGAACCAGGACAGATAGAAGAGGGGCAGCCTTGTTAGCCCAAGCACTCTTCATTGTTAATATTGCCATCCTGCTCACAAGACAGAGCTGCCACTGTGCTGCAGTGCCATGGTGAAGGTCAGTGGGGCTCAAGCACTGCTTTGTGGAGTCTCCTGCACATCACAGAAGCATAGAATAGCCTGAGTTGGAAGGGACTTCAAAGCTCATTCCAACCCTCATTCCGCAGCCAGGGACACCTCCACTAGACCAGGTTGCCCTGTTCAGCCTGTCCTTGAACACTTCCAGGGATGGGGCAGCCACAGGTGCTCTGGGCAACCTGTGCCACGGCCTCACTACCCTCACAGCCAAGAATTTCTTCCCAATATTCTATATGAACCTACTCTCTGTCAGTGGGAAGCATCCCCTGTTGCCCCATCTCTCCAGGCCTTTGTAAGTAGCAACTCCATATTTTTTATAGACTCCCTTCAGGTTAAATGTTTTGTAGGCTCCCTTCAGGGAAAGCCACAGTTAGGACACCCCTGAAGCCTTCTCTTCTCCAGGCTGAAGAATCCCAATTCTCTCAGCCCTTCCTCATGGAAGAAGTGCTCCGTCTCTCTGATCAACTTGGTGGCCCTTCATAGTCCATAGTGGAGAATATGCACCATTTCTTGGGGTGCATGTGCAGGGGCACTGCGTAACCCAGACTAACTGGCTTTCAAGTTTTGTTTGAAAAGGGCAGGTCTACTGCCAAATTATCTTCACTAGAGCTATCTGATAATTTTCTGATATAGCCAAGTCTAACATGACATTTTGCTGTCTTCAAAACCCAAGTCTTAAAATCAAGAGATCTTGGGGTCCTAAGCTTCCAACAAATCCAGACTTAAGTGACAGCTGCCACAAGGCTCCAAGTTCCAGTAGATGTCAAATATACGGGACTGACAGACTGACCCTTATTTATATCAAGGGGGATCTTGTCAGTGTTATTAGTAGATGATATTATATTCTATTTTCTGGACAACTGCTTTTGGTTTCCAACCATAAAAAGCTTCTGATTGATTTTGGTGCCACCTTCTGATCAACAAAAATTAGGCAGCTTTTACAGTGAAGCATTTGCTGATGGTGAGTTTGCATGTACTTCATATGCAGGATGTTGGTGGCGTAGAGACTGTGATGTTTTTGCAAGGTTATTCTACAAACCTCAGCCTCTCAAGGCAGGACTACAGCTACACAGATTGTTTCAGCTTAAAATCATGCTGCAGATAAAAATGTGTCAAAATTATCATTCTTTAGAGCAAATACTTCTGGTTTCATAGATGTCTTGATGTAAAACATTCAAGGTCTACTTGGGAATTTTTTTGTCTTGTATTTGCAATATGGATGTTCACAGTAATAGAACTTAAATATCAAGGTATACTACAAATTTTGGAATGGTAGGATGTATAAGCACCTATATTTATGGTGATTATTATCTTATATCCATTTCCATAGGAACAAGACCATTTTGTTTTACTTCAACATCCTGAAATGTGCCAGCCCCGTAGTGTTAATAAACCTACAGTGCCCTACAACACAGGTGAGTGAAAATGTAGAGATAAAATATTTTCCCTGCATCTTAATCATGGTGCTTAAAAATGAGACATGTATTTGTTTAGATTTAAAAATTGTTGTTCATTTCCTTCAAAATACAACATGGTTGTTTTATAAATTACTTGTAGCAAGCACACTCTCTGTAGTGTGTGACGGTCAGAAAAATGAAGTGGAAATGCACAAGATTGTATATTTTGGATAAGAGTAGACAAAAAAAGTCCGCTGACTTGAACACAACAATTTTTTATTTATGAATTCATCACAGCAGCTATCCAGTAGTATTCAGTGCATGCAGAAAATATTGATTTATACCTAAGATTTTTGGAGCTGAACGTGTTCAAGAAACTGTGCATATTGCCATTGACAGGATTATCTGGGTGTGATTGAAGCCTATGGCTCTTTCAAAAGTGAAGATTTTGAAAGCTTATTCTTCCCTTATGTCACAATTTGTACTCTGTTTGTTGTGTTGTGGTTCCTTGTGAAGTTGTGAAATAAACCTAGTCACTGCATTTGTGTGGGTTAAGATTAACCTCCTGATCTTTCTTGCAAGACAATTTTCCTGATCATAAAACATGAAAATCTCTAACAAGAAAGAGCAAGAACCCTCTTAAGACTGGCTAGTTGCTGTCAGAATGAAAACTTGCTCCATCAGCTGCAGATTTGCTTCAGGAATCCCCATCTGTCCACATGCACACATTGACACTGTTGCCCTGCAGTCTTAAGACTCTTTCACTAGAACAGTTCAGTCTGTTCAGAAATATGAGGTCATTATGTGGGATTTGGCTGGTGCTGTGGTCAGGTTGGCAATGGCCATGAATCAAATTGGGTGAAATATTTGCTAAAGGAGAGTTTTTGGGACCAGAGTAGTTACTTTGTTAATTTTCAAATATGCAACATCTCCAAAACAAAGAATACTGTTTTTGAATGCTGTTTGTTACTGCAGATGGTTAAATGACTGGTCGTTTCGAAAAATGCTGAAGAAATTTTTTTTGATGATTCCTCTTTTGAACTGCAAACAGGATCCTTCATTCCTGACCTATACATATAAATATCAGGAGGAAGAACCCCCAAGAACTAACATGAGAGGAGCTTCAGTTCTTGAATAAGGCTGGATTTGAAAACAGTTAATACAGTCCATTGGATCCATAGACAGCACATTTCACTGCCTGTTTCCTAGATAGCAAACAGTTTATAGGAAAGTGTGTACTTGTTAGTCACCTGTTGTCCCAGCAAGAACAAAACTCTTCTTTCTTTGTTCCTTGGCCTGTGGGTAGTCCATAGGACTAAAATACTTCTACAGAAAGACCCTCTTGCAGTATCTGCTGTGTTCTAAGGATTAGTACAAGACCTCTTCCCAAAATTCTTTTTGGTGAATTCCTTAGGAACGGAATGCCCTTGACATGAAAGACAGTTTTGGTGCATGATGTCTCTCTGGTACTTGGACAGCAGAGCTTTGCAAAGGGTGTTTGGATAGCACAGCTTTGGAAACAAACTGCCTTCTAGAAAAGGTTCAAGCTTGCTGTAAAGGTTGAATTCAAACCACCTCACATTCTTAACGCTGAGGAGTCAGAATGTCTGTCCTTGGTGTGATTCCAGGGACCAGCAGAACCTTCAGAGTCTGTTCATCGGGGCAGCCACTTCTTCTTGTCCTAAATCTAAATCTCAACTTCTCAGTGGATGCATTCAATAGACCCCAGTCCTCACCTGATTTCTCACATAAATCTGGCTTATAATGGCTATACCATGAGTCATGTGAGCATGACTACTTGTCATAGGCATACCCTGGCTTTGTAAGTCTTTTCTTAGTCTACAGTTAAAAGTCACTTTTGAGTGATTTACACCTAACTTGACAATATTTGTATAGATGTAATTGACTGAAGAGGTTGTGTAGAAGGATTGAATAACAGTACCCGAGACTTTGGATTTTAGTGAGACTTTCTTTAAATACAGTTCCTCTTATACATGTAGTAGGAAAAAATTGTATATATCCTGTAGAAGTAGCTGTCACACCCCCTTGCTCTTATATACTGCTGATGATAGATATAGAGGAGGACTTCAGAGGTTTTTTCTTGCTGCCCAGAAAAATAATATTCTTTTCAACAGACTGAAAGCTCTTCTTACCTATCAGAATGTGTAGAACCTAAGAAGATACAGAGAGGGACTTGATATGCCAGATATGAGGAGAACACACTTTGAAAGTATTTTCTATCAAAGAATTCTAGAAGCATTCATTTAGGGAATCAAAAGGAGAACATATCTTTTCTAAATCCAGCAGTAAACATTAATGAAGGCAGTGGCATTTTTCTTGCTTTTTCATTACACTGACTTTCCTTACCCTTCTCTACCCAGATTGTGTCTTTACTTATTTTTTTCTTTTCTTGCAGCTTTGTGTCTCAAAGTGCCCAGACAGGTTTGCAACCTACATTGATGTTCAGGCTTCCTACAGATATAGACCAGATCAGTGGAATTACTTCAGACAATTCTGCAAACCTGGCTTTAACAATCCTCGCAAGGTGCGTATGTATCTGTAGATGATAAAGTACATTTTTTCTTCAAGCACTATATAATATGCATGATTTTACTGAGCTGCATCAAAGATTTGAATTATTCTGATTTCAGCATATAAGGAGATGTCCCATTTATGTGATTGGACAGTTGTTTAATCTAGGCTGAAGGTCTTGAATGCACACTAAACCTCCACTCTTCAAATGATTGCTGTTAACTTAAAAGACTACCTGCAGCTACTCATTCAGTTGCAGTACTGTGGCAAGCAGTATCCTTTAGTACTTAAGTACCCCACAGCAGTAGAGTGTCTCAAACCAATTCTTAAGGCTCTTAAGTCATCTATAGCTACTTGGAAAGTTAGCTAAGAAAATTAATCTATCCTTCATATAACTGATTTTGTACTCAAATGTACTGTGTTACTTTTCCCATCTTTAAAATGTCTTGCAATTCAGTACATTAATTGGATTAAAATCTTACTTTTCTTTAAGAGAAAAGATAAAGGGTAGGCAAGGAACAATTGTCCAGTCAGTTCTGGCTTAGATGCTGATCCAAAAGTCTTTTATGTCACTAGAAAAGAAAAGAACAGTCTTTTCCCAAATCACAATGACAGTTTGGATTCTCACTTAGATATAAATGTATCTTGCAGCTCCACCAGTGAAATTTGGGGAGGAGGCTACAAAGCCCAGTTTGGGGCATTCCTTCAGACTGGGTGAAAAGCAAACATACTGTTACACTGTTATTCAGCATTCCTATTTTTTCCCTTTTTAGTCTGTTGCTCAAGTCCTACGTGATGAAGATTGTCCTTCAATGATCATTCCAAGCAGGCCTTGTGAGTGATTCTACTTCTTATACGCATCTTAGCAGATTGTAAGCATTCATATTAAAGCACAACTCCAGTCTGAAATGTGTTTTGCGGCAACATCACTAGGAGCTGTTTATCTGACATTCACATTCATTCAGTTTTAAAGCATAAATCAATTCAATTTGAAAATACAAATATTTATTAATATTTTTTCTAACAGTCGTCTGGGAATATTCAGCATGTGATCAGGTCAAGTTGAGCTCTTTCTTTCTCTTGAATCATCACTGATAGCAAAAGCTCTTCACCTGAAATTGTGCTTTCCAAAACAAGAGCAAGCGATGCCATTGGCATGAAGAAAATGCTACAAATGTTGGAAGGATCATATGGCCAGGTGTTGAAGTTCAAACAGTACTTCAGCCCAGTTACAATGCAGCTCTCCTTTCAGTGCAGTGCTGGCTATGCAGGACATATGGAGGAATTCCAGAGCAAAAAATGTCACTATGGTCAGCAGGTGTTTCTGAGTAGATAACCACTGATCCCAGAGCTCATCTCAGCCGCACAAGTGTAGTATTGACCCAGAATCTTACAGAAGAAGAAATTGCCATTTATTTTTGCCATACTTTAAAGTAGGGATCATGTAAACCAGGAACATGTCATTAAAAGGAGAAGATACGGATTAAATTTTTAAAACATAGTCTGAATTGTATGAAAACTGAGATACTGACCCAAAAGACATAAAATAACTTGCAAAGAAGCTCTTATATTCTTTTACACTACATCAATGAGCAAAGATTACAGTTGGAGGAAAAGATATGTTAAGATATGTTGCTTAATAATTTATTCAGAATAATTGCTGGGGGAGATAGATCAGACTGAATATTGAGCCCTAGCATCAATATTTGTTGCAATCTGGTAAGGAAAGCACTGAATAGTTATGTGAAGTACACTTCTGAAGGAGGACTCACCTGCTCTTCTCTTTGGAATGAAACCAAGGATGTTTTGCAGCCAAGAACAGGGCAGAGTAAATGAGTATGCAAACACCTCCTTTTCTCGCTTTTTTATAATCTCCTCTTCCCTCTCTCTAACCAGCTCTTTCTGTCTTTTTTCCATTGCTTCATCTCCAAGAATATCTAGTGATAGTGCCTGGTACTGGAGCTCATCTGGCGTATAAGGAAAACAACACTTGCTGTTATATATTGACTGGGGCTAATATGATTCATGATCAGTCAAGTTGAATCTGTCCTTGGGGGCTGGTCTCATTATTACCATAAAATGGCATATTTGAGAAGCTGCAGTTTTTATAAGCTGCCCAGATACTGACAGAGAGTAAGTTCCACATTTATTACAAATTCTTAAACTCCTGTGTATAGTACTGTTGTTATTTGGTAGGACCTAGAATCTCCAGTTGAAATCTATGATCCGACCCTGCCTGAGCTTAGACAAAAAGCCTCCGAGCATAAAAATCATAATCTTGAATGCAATGGCTCTTCCAAGATTTGTCAAAGTCAACATATTGCTATATAATCAGTTGAAAAACAATTGACTGTGAATCTGAAATTATTTAAATATGTTGCAAAACACACATGATGAAAGCAGAGCTTGACATGAGATGTAATATGCAGGCTTTGTTTTGATATTTTGAATAGTTCTGAAGAGATGCTTCCCAGACTTCTCCACGAAGAATGGTGTGTTGACCGTGGCAAATCAGACTACATTCAAAGATGGAAGAGGGAAAACAAGAAATGTAACTGATCTCAGGGAAGCTGCAAAGTAGGTTTTACCCTTCTTCAGTGTTTGTTGGATTCTGAGATTGCACAATAATTTAATAATTTTAAAAATCAGAATCTCTTGTAGCAAATGACTGAGGGTACCCAAGCTAGACTTGGTAGCAAATGGTTTCTCTGTGCCTGAGCACTTCCAAAGTTCCGTTAAGGAAATCCAGTACTGTGGTGTGCAGAAAGGAGCAAAAAGTGCAAAAAGCCTAAGTCTGATGGTCTCAGTCATTTTTTGGAAATAATTATTGCTTTTTCTAACAAAAATAAGTTTTGCAAGGAAAGTTACCTGAGGTTCAAAATGCAATCCTCATGCTGCAGGACTCAGGCCAGCCAGGAATGGCCTTGGCTGTGCTGTTCTGTAATGACCTTTCCAGTGCCATGGGCTGGCCTGGTGCTCTGGGCATCCCACCTCATCCGAGTGCTCCTGCTTCTGGTAAAAAATAATGTATTGGGCTGTTCTTCGGAAAACTGTTATATGGGTGAGCATTCTGCAGAATAGAAAAACAGTTCCATCAAGTTGCTTCACTGACCTGTTTTCTGGTTCTATGCTTTTAGCAGTTCTAGAGTCACTACTGTTTGTCCCTTGCTACATTGCATATACTGATAGTATACACTTGCCTTGTGACATAATAAGCAATTCTGACAATAAAGCCTTTTTAATTAATTTTTTTCAGGACTTGTAGAGACATTCTTATGCAGATTTTTCTTTGCTGTACTTGACTGTAATTGATGTTGATTTGGTGACAGAACTGGAGTATAGTTGTAAAAAAATTTTAGTATACTCTTATCACTACCAAAGATATTTCAAATTCTTTCACTGATCATATTTGTTGTTTAAATAAATTCTCCTTTTCTACCTGAAGCAAGCTTTTGTTTGATTTTTCTTTTCTCAGTGGCATCAATAATGTCCTGGATGCAAGATCAGTTGGAATGAAAATTTTTGAAGACTATGCCATTTCTTGGTATTGGATTTTAATGTAAGGGTTTTTTTGGTATTTTTAGTGTTTCGAAACTCATTTTGGAATGTGCAGGAAATAAAAAAAAAGATTGTGTATGTATTTGGTACATATTCTACTTTAAAACTCGATAAACTGTAATTTTCCTTTCATCACATGTGATAATAAAATAGTTACAGTTCTGTGGATGGCAAGGACAGTACAGCAGACATACATAAAGTGTCAGTTGATCTGGAATAGCTTTTTAATGTCCTGCCAGTCAGAAAATCAGGAGGAGCAGGGTTCTGTTGCAGCACCCATGTGTGTAGCAATTCCAAAACTGAAAAATCTTAATTAAGTAACTTTCAAGCCAGTTGCACTTGCCAAGTATCAATAGTACATATATAAAACAGATAGTTTCTGAATTTCTGCAAGCAATATTCAGTTAAGCCCATTATAATCCCTAAGTTCAATATGAATCCATAAATCCAATGCAGCAGGCAAAGCAACATCAAGAACAATTACTGAACAGTATTAACTTTATCTTGCAATTAATATTAATTAATCACCAATTAATTAAAATGCAGCACCAAAACAAGAGAAGTAGCTTCTTTGTTGAAGCAAATATGTAAGTATTTGTGAACTCCTAGCCCATTAATATTGATTATGATGGACCAGTGTGTTGATCTATTTGAACAGGAACTGAATTTGTTGCCAGGTGAGAACCTTTAACATGCACATGTTAAGCATACATTAGTCAATCCTGAATGCAAACCCACAGCATTTAATACATACTTTAGATAATAATGTGGAGATTTGGTCAGTTCAGAAACACAAGTTGTCAGCTTTTAAAGGTGTTCAGACACTGGTGGAAAAACAGCTTTCTCATAGTCTGATACTCAGCTCACAATATTTAGTAGCAGGAAACTCATGGATATTCAGCAAGCTTGGGTCTCTCTCTCTCTTTCTGAAATCAGGCTTGTGGTACAGAGTCTTTCAAAGGAGATACCACTGGACACACTGGACAGAGAACTGACCATTGTTTTGAACAGAAATTCTAAATATTGAAGCAAGTTTCCACATTTCAAATATGGTATTTTTTTGTAAGGAAGTCTTACCACTTCAAAGTAGTTGGATATAATTTTCCTCACACTTTTCACCCAATGATAGCATAGATCAAATGATTTCTGGACAAATGTATTTAAGTGCCAGAGGTTGGGTGAAGTTTTTAACAGTAAAGGCTTGACACTGAAGGGAGGCTGGATTAGAATTTAAATATGGAATTGCTGTAGTGTTTTTAGCATACCTCAAAAGAACTACTGCCTCAAGCCTCAGTTTAAGGGAACTAGTCTGTTGAAGGCAGTTGCTACTGTGTACTCAGTTTTGGTGTTACTAGGACTCATGTATCGCTAAAGATAACTTCAGATAAAGGTAATTTACTGCTTTCAAGATGGAGCCCCAAAACTACAACTTTTCTTGAGGAATATATTCTGAATTTCAGTAAATCATTCAGAAAGGGAAAATACATCAGGCTAGGAAGCCATTAAAGATATAGGACTTAAGGCAAAGTTAGAAAGGTTTAACTAAATAAGCTGATGTGATTCTTTTATGATCAGGCTGCCCCATTTTTTAGCTTTGGTTATTGGCTAAATAAGCTGGGAACATTCAGAAGAAAAGTTACTGAACATAGGCGAGAAGAGGGTTTAAATTTTTTGGGGTCTGTACTGATACAAAATTTGCATGTAACACCTACTAAAAATAATGAGACATGAAATGTTCTTTAAAGCATCTGAGCTGGATATTTGTTCAATGGGATTAATATTCATATTGCTTTCTTCATAATTGTTTAGAAAGCCATGTGGAGTGAAAAAGCCTTTTGCAATATTTTTTTCCTTTCTGACTTGCTTTCTAGGAGTGAAATGAAAACAAATATTACACTACATTATATTACATTACATTACATTAATTATTGTCTTGATGAAAAAAAGGCACTGTAAATGCCTTTAGGGACTTCATAGAAAGGCTCTTAACAGTTTCTTTCTATGCATCATAGTGCCCTGATCATTTCTTCTTCTGATTAGTAGAAGCGGTGATGAGTAGAAATTATGTCCTTCTAACCTCCTGATGGTTTTTCTCCTAAATGTAATTCTTTTTTTTTTCCCTAGGAAGCTTCTAGAATGTTGTTTACTAACATTGTTTCTTTGCAAGCAGGGATTTTCTGTGGAGGACATAAACCAGCAACTTCCCCACACATAGGTATCCCTCCAATTTAACTTTCTGTACTGTAGATTAGACTGTGGCCTGAAAAAGGCAGTGAGTTTTTCAGCTGGTGTAAGTGACAAAAAAGGCATTCTATTAATCCCATTCAACCAGCCTGAGAACCTAGTACACATATGTGAGATCATCATATATAAGCTGTTTGTTTGTAATGGCAGATAACAGCCATGAGAATGTATTTCATAACGAAGATTTTGAAATACTTTTTTACAAATCATGCTATTATGTGAGATGAAGTGACCCTTATTTGAAGTAACAGGAATGCAAGAATGTGAATAGATTCTTACACTCATTTTTTCTGTGTTTCTGTTTCTTCACTTTCTAGTGGACTGTTCATTGCAATGATGTTGAGTCTGCTGTTCCTTGTGTTATTGAGGTTCACAGCTGGGGTTCTCTTCTGGATTTTCATCTTTGGTGTGATTGGAATTATAGGTTATGGTAGGTGTAATTTTCTAGCCTCTGAGACTATTTTTTCTTACTGCTTAAGTCTGGAAAATCAGTAGTTAACTCAATGAAATGGTACAATTGGGTAAATTAATGCCTAGTTTTAGACACAATTAAGTGAGAAGGACATAAATGGCAGCACAATGCAGTAAGAATCCAGCTGTGCTGATACTTAGCAGCAGATGTAGTAACCTGCATTACCTATGCACAGTATGCTTAGTCTGTAATCACTTGTACTGATATTTCTTTCCCATATATATGATATCATAACTGGCTAGTCTCACAGTGATGCATTTTTGGGCTTTGCTCACCTGACAGGCTTATACAAAAGCAAAACATTTGGCTTGTAAGATTTTTTTTTTAATTTGCATCTTTGCGCTCTTCATACACACTCCTATTTTATTGATTGTTTTTTAAAAGGCATCTGGCATTGTTACTGGGAGTATGATCATCTAAAAGGAATACCTGGATCTGACCTCACTGTTTATGATATTGGATTCCAGACAGACTTCAAAGTGTACCTGCAACTGAGGCAAACATGGTTAGCATTTAGTAAGTGCCCTTTTACATTTGGTATCTGTTAATGGATATTCAGGAAAATCAGTCAGTGTCTTAATACACTTTCTGCCTTGTTAAATCTCCTCCTCTACACATGTTGCTCAGAAGAAAAAGCAGAATTCCCTTTCTCTGTATTGTGTAAAAATATGCTTTTTCAAAAGAGAGTCGTATATTTGTAAGGGGAGATAATGCAATCACACTAGTGATAAGAATGAAAAAATCTTTTCTTAGGAGCATTCTACTTCCTGTGTGTTCAGTCTTCACCATGGGGAAAGCAGAAGGCAGTAATTAAGTTCATCATGATGAAGTTGTGCAGGGAAGTGTACTTTTCTCTCTCAGATTATTTTTTCTTCCTCCTTGAGAGCCCCAGAAATGAGATTAATAAGTCACATTAATAACTACACTTGTTTTGTGTCTTAGAATCATAAAATGTGCCAAGTTGGAAGGGGCCCATCAGTATGATCAAGTCCAGCTCCTGGCCCTGCACAGGACACTCCAACAATCCCACCCTGTGCCTGAGAGTGTTGTCCAAATGTTCCTTGGGCTCTGGCAGCCTTGGGGCCATGCCCTTTCCCTGGGCAGTCTGTTCAGTGCCTGACTCTTGGGGAAGAACCTTTTCCTGATCTCCCACCCAAATCCCCCGACCCAGCCCCAGCTGTTCCCTGGAGTCCTGTCACTGGTCATGAGAAGGAAGAGGTCGGTACCTGCCCTTCTAGTTGCCCTTGTGAGGATGTTGAGGGCCACAATGAAGTCTCCTGTCAGTTTACGCTTAGGTCACTGAATTTTCTTGTTGTCTGATCTAAGACTGTGAAATAAACAATTTTAAACAAAATCCTACTGGAACAAGACAACCTGCAGCATATACGCTCCCCCCACCAAGAAAGGAAGAGCAGAAGAGGGAAGGAATACCTGTCGAACATTACTTGCACTCCTGTTACTGCTCTGTTCGAAGGCACACAGACTTGTAACTGATGATGAATGGGTCATAACCAAAAACACTGCCTCTCCCTATTGGTAGCTAAATTAATAGAGCAGTAGCTCACTGCTTAAATCTCCTATCTCTTATTTATGTCTTCATTTACTTCTGTGTTGGATCATTGAGCTTATGAGACATCTTCTATATATATCGTTGAGGCAAAGCTTTTTAGTGTGCTCTCCATAGAGAATATTAGGACTTTATTATGCATTTTTTCCCCTGTAACTCTTCAGGCTCTTCCTCTGCCTGATTCTTAGCAGCCAGTGTATAGTTTACCTAGAGTTTAGTGTCACTTTCACAAGAGTAAATTACGGTACACAGGAATTAAATTGCTTTTCCAAAATCACCTAGCAAAGTATGTAGTTACATATCCTTGAAGAAAACGTAGTCGGAGTCCTAGTCTAGAGCTCATCATGTACTGACAATGCTTGCCTTTTTCACAATGTTTTGGACAAGTACATTAATCTAACAGAGACAAATTGGAATGAGACCAACTTCAAAGAAACCTGTTTTTATATTCCTTCATGGGGAAATGGCACCTGCAGTTCTGTTGCTAGGGGAAATACTTAGGATTGCAATTCAACATCATCTGTGACTATTGGGTCTGATATTCTGAGACTATATTTAAGCTGTGGGACCTAAAGCCAAATCTCATCTTCCTTTGCAAACCTTTATATAAGTTTTTAGATACTTAAGGGTATACTGTCCCTTCTGTCTTCCTCTCCCTCCACAGAACTTCTTGGTCTCAGCTGGAGGACACAGGTCCCGCTGCATACAATAATCTGCCCCTACTGGGCTGGTTTAAGTGTTGTCTAATGATCTGAAGCACCAAAAATAAATGGATATGTGTCAGAGTTGGAGGATGTGTGCTTCAGGCATTAAAGACTCAGTCTTCTCTAGGTGAAGTTCCCAGATTTTTCTTACTTTCTACTGCAGAAGTAGGTTTTGAACCAACACAAATAGAAAGCAGACAGAAGCAGACTCTACTGAAATCAGAGTTATGATTCAAATGCTGCTTATAGTTAAGAGCTCTCAGCTCTCTAATATCAGAGCATGATTCCAGCAACGCAACTGGAAGGTGAAAGTAATTTGACCAGGATGGTCCTATCTTAGTCTCTTTTTTTTTTTTTTAAACTCAAATGAGGTGAAAGGAGCTCATGCCAGGGTAATACTCAAACAAACCTTTTGATTTTAGTACATCTACATTTTAGAACAATGTAGATCAGAAAAATGCACTCTCCATGAAAAACTTGACTCTTCATCTCCTATTTTTTGTTATCTAAATACTACAAATGAGCAACAGTATAGCATGAACAAATGCTTGTATTATGAGCAAATTTCTTGTTTATGGGAAGTACAATTGGTAAAGGATGAATTGTATCTAAGGCTAGATACTGCAGTCACATTGAAGTTAATATTTTTCTGAGAATTGTATGTTCCATTTTTCTGTTAGAAACATAAATATCAGGGTCATATACATTCTGACTAACTCACTGCAAATAGAATTTTTTTTCAATGGGACTTAAAAACCTATGAAATGGGATTGAAGTTTGGCAGGTGCAGTTGTAGAAAGAACTCCTCAGGCACAGAATTTTACAGAGTTCATGAACAATAGTTCAAATTACAAGGAAAAAATTACAGAAGTAGCATATTGGTTTTGTTCGTGATAAATCTAATTTCTTTATTTGCTTGTTTACAGTGATAATACTTTGTGGTGTTGAAGTCATAATCATACTGATGCTGATCTTCCTAAGAAATCGGATTCGGATTGCTATTGCACTGTTGAAGGAAGGTAGTAGGTATGTTTGTCTGATTTTAATATATGTTGAATTTTATTAAATGATCTCTAGAGTACACTCTTCTAGAACTCTATCTTGCATTACCAAGGGCAGAAAATTGGGGTTTAAAATACAACACTGCATTTGTTGCATGAAACAGGTTCAACAAGGAATTCACAAGAGGTGTTCAAGGAATATCAATTACCTTTTAATGAGGTCGTGCTTAATAGAGCTTTCTCTTTTAAAGTAAGGTATTTCTTATCTTTCTGCTTCTTGCCTTAAGAATTCATACACTCTTAATGTTACCACATACACTTAGTGCAAAGAAGATGTCTCAGCAGAAAATGTAAGTGTGGTATACTGTTTATAGGAGGCTGGGACGTGTAGGTGCCAACTTTTCTCTGACATTGGATTGTTCCTTGAGTCTTATACTAGTGGTAGAGGATTAGTGTTGTTTGGGCTTTGGCTTCTATTTAGGAAAGACCAGGAGATTCTACTGGGTCCAGTCGAACTTCTGTGTGGACAGGCATAAATCTGCAGAGAGAAAAAGAAACTTCTGTTACCAGACATTGTAAGAGGATGTGGTCTATGTCTTCTTAGCTCTGAGTAAAGAAGAAGGCATACCAGGATATGGGAGTTCAGGGCTAAAGGGACCTCTTCGTTGTGTGTTTCCTGAACTCTGCATAGGCTTTGTTCACAGTGGTTCCTATTTTACACAGTTTTGCACAGAACATTTGGTGGGGTTTTTTGTTTTGTTTGGGATTTTTGTTGGCTTTTTTTCCTTTGTTTGGTTTGGGTTTTTTTTGTTTGTTTGTTTTTGGTTTTGGTTTGAAGTTTGGATTTTTTTAATTGAGAGTATTACAAAGGATAAACGGACTTAAAACGGACTGACTTAAAATGTCACTTGGATTTCACTACAAATAGGCTATGGTCTCATAGGTCCTGAAAGCAAGCCTGTGTTCTCAGAGCACATAGTGTTAGCTCTAAGTTTATCTATGAGCATTTGCTTGTGGTTTTCTGCCATCTTTATTGCCACTGCGGTTCCCAGGAATCACAATTTGGGATTTTTGTCATGGGATTAAGAAATACTGAAGTTCTGCATTTAGCCAGGTATCTGTTTCCTGTCTTATGCTACTGTGCAATTAGAACATAGCAATTAATTTAGGCAGGACTAAATTATACTCTTTAATTCCCATTCATTAAAATCCAGGAACACTTTTAACGTTCTTCAAAACCTTTGTTCACAACCTTGACAGGTGGAAGGATTTTAGGAAGTTCATAAACTTCTTGCTGATTAGTAATAACATTCTGTAGTTTGCCAGCAGCATGGAAAGGTCACTTGAAGGTGAACTTCTTGCTTTCATGCATAATGGATGAGATGAAACACTGTATGTAATTACTGTAAACCTAACAGACCAGGTCATATATTTAGGAAGATAAAAAATAAGGTGCTAATGATTGGAAATCAAATTATGTTTTTCAATACCTTTTAGCTACATTTTCAAAAATATTAGTTATAATGCCAGTAATTGACTTGAAATCCATAGTTAGAAACAAGAGTTGTTAATCAGTGTTTTGGAATAATAGGGTGTGGTCTTAATGGTAACTAACTTAATGGTAACTAAGTCTCCCTGTTTTTCTAAGTTCTTCTAAGCCTTTTGATATTTACATTTTTGTAATGGAGTTCTTATGCACTTTATGTAAATAATGATTGTTTTTGCATTCCTTTCTGGAGGAGGAGAAATTTCATGGACTGTTGATTTGACCAGTGTCATTGAAGAGGTGGCAATTTCATCCTCCAATCCAGGATCACTTTTCCAATTCTATATATATCAAGGTCGAGAAATAAACTTCCCTTTTTTTTTACCTTGGAGGTTCCAGCGTGCGTGTTGTTTTATTTCATGTCCTATTGTTATACTAAGAGGCCTGCCAATAACTGCTGAACACAGCCAATTTGTTGTGATTATTTCTCAAACAGCTTAAGTCTGTGTCCTCCTGTGTGATTTGTAATAGACTTTTTTGTCTCTGTGCTCAGACAGCAACTGATGTTTGGCTCAAAGCCTCTGGATTGGACATGACAGTTTCCTTGAATTCCCCCCAGCATTTACTACTTTACCTTTAGAAACTGAGTAAATTTTTCTCCTTTTGCTGTCTGGAAACTGCATCCTATAAAACAAATGACATCAGAGGCGCCCTAAGTTATAGAAGAAATACTGTAAGAAATAGTACTAGACAAAAAGGCTTTTGATAAAGAGAGCCAGCCTGTAAATTTGAGTAAACAAAGCACATGCTTTCTGAATTTACATCCAGTGAGATACCCAGTTGGAGATGTTCACTTCTCGGATAGCAGCAGGTTTACCAAGAGGGTTGGTATCAACTCCCACTTCCAGAGAATGAGTCCCTGGCCGAGTGGAACTAGCATGGTCAAGTTCCTGCCACTAGTCACATTCTAGCCACAGGAATTAGCAGTAGAATATCAGGCTACATACACCTTGATATTAAAAGAAGCTGTCTAAGCTGTCAACAGAAAAAGGCAATTATTAATTTTGCCTTCCATTAGTCATAGGTGAGCACCAGTTATGTACAGCATGTGCAAGGAAAGGCACATAAGTGCAGGAAGGTGCAGTCTGTCCAGGCATTGCAAAGACAAGCTGACTGTCTCTGCCCTTACATAGCTAGCGCTTGAGGCAGGAAAGCTGCTGGGAACAGAGTTGTCAAATACAAAATAGAATAAGGTCGTTTCAGTTCTGTAGGAGTGAAGGAAGAACACAGGATGAGCAGAGTGGGAATTAGGACATAAAGGGTCTGCAGCAGCTGGCAAGAAGATGTCATGGAAATCAGTTAATGGCCTTGGAAAGAGATAGGTCTCTGAAGCAATCATGAAGAAGGAGAAAGTAGAAGATAAGCTGGAACATGGCAAATGGAAAAAGTTCACTCTAGTACCATTGGTAAAAGTGGAGTGGTAGAAATGACAAAGTCGAGGCTTGAATACATAAGAAAAAAATTCCTGTAGTATTCTGAGATCTCAGTACTAGCTTATACTATGAGTGTCAACAAGTTTCTGAAACTAAAATTGCTAGAAGAGGACTGATAAAAAGCTAGTTTCTGGAATTGTTACAGCTTATTGATATATTTTGTTTCTTTTATAGGGCAATTGGCTATATAATGTCTACACTGTTCTACCCAATCGTCACCTTCTTACTCATTGCAATTTGTATTTCCTACTGGGCTGTGACAGCTGTGTATCCTTCTGTCTGTGTACCTATCTGAAGCAAGTTTTCTGGTCTGCAAGACTAGATAATTTTCTGCTATTTCACGTTAATTAAACCAATATTCAGAGGACTGTTTGGTCACTTAGCACTTACTCTTCTGATACAGTCTTCTGCACTGCACATCTACATGTGATGCACAAACCAGACAGTGATTTTATTATATTTAAAAAAAAAAAAAATGGACTAAAAGTCAGGCCAAGGCAGGGGAGTCATACAAAGCCTTGTGTACTGCATAAGGTTGACTCTTGGGGGTGAAATGGGCCCTCAGTGAAGAGTGAATATGGTCTTTAATGTGCTGTGTGCTCCACAGGCCTGATGTTAATGGTTTCTTAGTTAACTGGAGGTGGAATGGGTTATGTATGTGTTTTGTTCAGAATGTGAGAAAGGAGTGTGTGAATATACAGTGCACTATCTCCTCTGAATTGCCTAACAGCAATCACTGTTTGTTCCTCAACAACGAGGGCTTGGTAAGGATTAAAAAAGGGGAAAACTGCTGATTAAAAAGCAGCTGTTATTTCATATGCAAAGAGTGTCAGTTGTTGCTGATCAGGGCAGTGTTAATTCATCCTTATGCTCTGTATCTACTTCTGCCAAAATACAAGAACTACTGTATAATCTGCTTTGTCAAAGATAGATATGGAGGAGAGATGGGGATGGTTTTCAATGTTATGTGCCCTGCCCATTACAGCTCCAGGGATGAGTTTGCAGTAGTCCTTTAAGTAAGGAGAGTGCTTGGTCTTGTCTGCCAACCCTTCAGCTATATCTCTGCAGAGCAAGAGCAGTTTTTCTGTTACATATACAAGTTCTTTAGAGCTAGTGGTTACCCACTGCAGAGTCCTAAGTTGCTCAGAAACTACAGTTCTGTGATTCCTCCTTAAAATATTTCATTCAGTTTTCTGGCCACATCAGGAGAACCTGTGTATAAAGTAATGGCTAATCAAACACTGTGCAAGTATGCAAACCTGACTTGTGACCCAGAGGTAAGTGAAACAAATATTTACCTGTAGGGAAAGCTATACTGACTGCATTTCTTAATCACTATTGAATGCACTTCTAGTAAAAAATGTGCATGTTTTAGGTAATGAGTCCCCATGTTAAATCTGAAAATATTACCCAATGTTCAGATAACACTTCTTTATTTTACAGACATAAACTAGTTTTTCTGCTAAACTGTCTTGTAAATGTTAGCATTCTAATTTACAGAGTAAGAAAGGAAGAGACAAAAATAAAATTTTACAGGAAAGATGTTCTTGAATTTGTGAGGTCTTCTGAAGGCAGTGGTAAATGTTGAAAGCTGCACCTCAAAGTTACTCAGGGACTAGCCATGACTTGAAGCAGAAGCTTAGTTTCTTCTGGCACAGTAATTACCTTTATGAAGCTCAAAAAATATTTGTCTTTTTTTTTTTAATTTTGCCTTCAAATTAAACTTTTCAAACTAAATTTGCCTTGAAAGTCAATTTTTTTTACTTGGCTCTGGGTTTGAATTTAAGGATTCTTTAAAAACTAGCATAAATCCTTGACATGAATCCTTAAATATGTAAACAGGTTACGTAGTGTTGCAGTTTTGAATGACATAATGGAGCATCAAGCAGAGTTATGTTATTTGTATTAACCTGCTAAACTTCAGACGCTATGAATATAGAATTCATTACTTATGATTGTTTATTTTTCTTTCTATTTAGACTTTTAACACAACCAATGTGACTAAATTGTGCCCAGGTGCTCAGTGTACTTTTGCTTTTTATGGAGGAGAAAGCCTGTACCATAAGTACATCTTCATCTTCCAGTTAGCCAATGCCTTTGTCTTTCTCTGGCTGGTGAACTTTGCAATTGCACTGGGTCAGTGTACCCTTGCTGGTGCCTTTGCCTCTTATTACTGGGCTTATAGAAAACCAGCTGATATTCCACTGTGGCCACTCTTCTCTTCATTTGGACGAGCAATACGGTAAGACTGTGGAGCTGGAAGCGAGCCTTGTCATGTATCTGACAAATGCTCTTTTTCAATCTAGGGAAGCCAATCTTAGAATATCATAAGAAAATGATTAGTCAGCATTATGGTTTCATCTCAGTGGCAGTCAAGCCCCCCACAGCTGCCTGCTTGTTCCCCCACAGTGGGATGGGGGAGAGAATCTGAAGGGTGAAAATGCGAAAGCACATGGGTTGAGATGAAGACAGTTTAATAGGTAAAAGAAAGCTGCATGCACAAGCAAAGCAAAGCAAGGAATTCATTCCCCATTTCCCACTGGCAGGCACGTCCCCAGTACATCAGGGCTTCTTCATGTGTAGCAGTGTTTAGGAACAACAAACTCTGTAACTTGAAATGCTCCCTCTTCCCCCTCCTTCCCCCAACTGTTACTGCCTGGAACAGCACAGTGTGGTGTGAAGTGTCCCTGGGGTCATTTGGCATCCGCTGTCCTGGCCATGTTCCCTCCCAGCTCCTCATGCACCCCCAGCCTGCTTATCAGTGGGGCAGGGTGAGCAGCAGAGCAGTTCTTGGTGCTGTTCAAGTGCTGCTCAACACTGGCTAAAACATGGGTGTGTTATCGTAATTGTTCTGGTCAGAAATCCTGAACGAAGCATAGCACAAGCTACTATGAAAAAACTAACTCTAGTCCATCCAAGCAGCACAATTGGGAAGATGTAGTGATTAGGTGAAGACTGCATCCTGTAGCCCTACAGCACCAAGGCTGCTGCAGCTCCCTGCCCCTAGATCCACCCAATTGTACTGCTGAGCAGGTACTCCCGCACGCGCACAAAATACATGTACACAACATGTGTACACAGATTGAGAGACAGACACTCACAAACACCAGCGGCACCTGTGGCTTCATCCTGTTCCTCTGTGGTGGATCGGGATAAAGGTCCATTCATTTTGTGTAACTGCCGCTAAAGGACCTTCCTTCACTTCTGATTTTATTTGTATATACGTGCATATATGCATACATATATCCATGTACGTAGGTACATGTGTGACATAAGTCAAATATTTTGTTTTTAGATACCATACAGGTTCGCTGGCATTTGGAGCCTTAATTCTTGCAATTGTCCAGCTTATTAGAGTAATACTGGAATACCTGGATCACAAACTGAAAGGTGAGATTTATTAATCTGCCCTAGGTTGTTAAGACCTTCCTTGCTATATTACTTCCTTACTTTCCCAAGCTGTTTTTTTGGCAAGGAAAAGAGACTGATTCCACATTATCCATTGTAGTTTCTTTGGAAGCCAGTAAATTTGTGTTCATTTACTCAAGCTGCGTCTATGTTCTTGGGAACCTAATGCAAAGTTCAGATGGGATATGAATGTGATCTAATTGAAGCTAGTGAGTTAAATTTGGTTGAGAGAGAGAGTTCATACCTAGAAATGAAAAAATAATGTCACAATTTAAGGTCTTCTTCTGAATAGCTTTCTACATTCTGAAGACTATTAATGAGTTCTATGTATGATGTACTCTCTCCTGCTCTTTTCAGGTACTCAGAACTCCTTCACTAGATTCCTACTCTGCTGCCTCAAGTGCTGTTTCTGGTGTTTGGAAAAATTCTTAAAATTTATAAACAGAAATGCCTACATCATGGTATGTCCCGTGTCTGCATGTTGTCTCCCCTATCTAGAACATTAAAATACCCTAGACACCACTAGTTCATCAAAAGCCAGCAGTATACTTAAATCTGCTGATAATGGGATTTATGGGAGTTTTCAGTACATGTGTGTGGTTCTACTATGAAAAAGTACAATTTTTTTTTCCTTCTAATTTCAACTTCTTTTTTTCCCTGTCTTTGTCCATCACCCTCCCCCCCAAAATGAGTGGGAAGGGATGGAATAACTGGTTAACTGCCCTGTAATTCAATAATTGATACCCCGATTTCAACAGGAATATTAGCTTATTTCATATTGCGTGTTGATGACATTTCTGTTTGGAGGTGATAGTTGAATAAGGAGGTCAGAAGGCATGTGATGATTGTATTTCCACCTGGAAGTTAGAGGCACAAATTCTACTAGCAGAAGCAGTGATATTCCTCTCAAATAAGCCTTCTTAGCTTCCAGATAAGAGAAGTTTGAAATCTTCACATAAATTAACATACACAGATTTCAGCCTAGGATGTTCTGGCTGGAACATTCTAGGCTGAAATCTGTGTATGTTAATTGATGTGAAGATGTTGTGGTTTTTCCAATTGTAAGCAATTTTGGTGATTGAATGGTACAGTCACAGGCTTCTCGTCTCAGAGGAGGTGGCTATAGTGGGTCCATTACAACCTGTGTTGATGCAATTGATATTTCAAATTTTTGCCATCTTGAAGAGGAAGTGTTTTTGACAATCTTCTTTACAGTTCATAAACTGTCTGAGCTGAGAGCTGTTCTGGTATATCTTACCCTGGTGAACACTATTCCAGGAAGAAGTAGTTTTGTTCCTGAATAACTTTTGCTGCTTTATTTTATGCAGATTTCTTCTTCAGGGAAAGCAGCATCAGGTCCAAGGAGATAACTACAGGGGTAGTTATCTCACTTGGGCTCACTTCAGCTCTCCAAGTGCCCATTCTTTTCCAGTGGCTATAAATCTAGTTTAGGTAACTAGCAAAGGGAGAAGAACGCCTTGACAAGTACCTTTTTTGCTCTGCTTAGCAAAGTAAGTACTTAGTCTAGTACCTGTGAGATCACAAGGGGTAGCATGCTCATTGTCAGGTGATTTGAAGGGGAAAGATGGATAATATTCTGTCCCAGCCTGATGGGAAACATTGAGAAGTAACAGGTGACTGAGGAAAGCGTTTTATGTTCATCTGAGTTTCAAGGCCACAAATTAGGGAGAACTATGCATTACATGCAGATGGATTAACAGCCACTGTTATTTTACAGATTGCCATATATGGTAAAAACTTCTGCACCTCAGCAAAGGAAGCATTCTTTTTGCTCATGCGGAACGTGGTGAGGTAAGGGACTGTCTCCTTCCCTTCCTGGAAATGTCAGGAGTTCCTACTATTGCACTCTGTGGGCACCCTTCTTTCCTTTCCCGTATCTTCTCCAAATACCGAGTGCCACTTCTGTCCTCAAATGTGGCCCTCACTTCTTACACTCCATGAATAACAGCTGGCTGGCCAGTATAGTAACCTATGCAGAGTTGATGGAATCTCATTGTTTTGTTGTGATTGGTCCTTTAAATTCCTAAGTACCCAGTACATTGTAATAATGCCTCCAAGAAACAAGTGGAGCCCCTGAGAGGAGATCTGCAGATAGATGGGAATGGGGTGCTCATCATCTGTCATATGTTTGTTTTTTGAGCTTTGGTCCACTTGGTCTGAGAAAGGGAAAGGAAAAAAAACCTGAGTCTTCAGATTCATTCAGAAATCTTATGAGGTGTTGGAGAGTGGAAGTAACGAACACAGAATACTTTCCTTTCAAAAAGATTGTCTTTAACATAACCAGATGTCCTCTGATGCTTAGAAATTTCCTGGCCCTTTTTTCCACTACTGAGTGTGTTGCCAAACTCCCTGTTCTCATCAGTACTTTCCTTCTTTGCTTCTAGCTCCTCCTTTGCTACCGTAAGATCAAAACGTAATGGGAGAATAACTTAGGAGCAGGCCATATTGATGCAATACAACACAATCTAATTACCAAGCAAGAGACTCAGTAAAACTGGTTAGATGGTTTAAAAGCATTAAGTGAAGGACTGGATGAGGAGGGAAATGGAGGCAAGGGCTGAAAGACGGAAGTGGAAATGGCACTTAAGAAAGAAGATAAAAGGACTGGAGCTGGGAGATGGAATATCTTCACTGTGTTACCCTGTACTAATATCAGGACAGTGATGTCCATACTGAGTAATGCCTGTGCAATAGGAGAGAAGCTGCCTTCATTTCCTTACAGAATATCACTTCTCTGCCCTTTATGGTTTTGCTCTTAATAAGAGCAATAGTGAAGAGATAGACATATAATTCTGTTGTTTCAAATAAAGATGTTTTTATCTTGTGCATTTTGCTAAATCTGAATTCTGACTGGTTAATGATGATTTGTCTCTTTAGTAGTTCTTAACATTCATTTTTCGCAGTAGTCAGTTCTGTGTATTACCACATCCATAGTGGTAATATGGTCCTTCTGTGCTGTCAAGAGGTTGAAGATACAAAGTTAATTTTTCATCCCGTTATTTATCTACAGTTTATGATAAGACAGGCTGGCAGAACATTGAGCAGAAACTCCCTGCTGTGCTTCAATGAGAGCTGCAGATTTATTATCAGCTTTTCTGTCTGTCTTTGTTCATCTGTGATTATCTTCCCGCTCTGAAGTTTCCTGCCTTCCATGTTGTACCATGATGTCTTAGAATAGTAGATGTGGCATATTATGAGGTCATGAAAGATGGCCTGATAGGACTAAGTGAAAAGGCGGCCTATCAGCAATCTACATAAATACGGCTTTTTGTTTTGATCTGTACTTCTCCTATTCTTGCCTGGCTTATCTGTGCCCCTAGAAGAAAGGCTGAAATAAAAATATTTTGAAGTTTTGGGTTGTTTGATTTTTTTTAAACCAACTTGAGGAATAAACAGTCTCCATGTCAGTCCTGTAGCAGCATTGCTCCCTTAAGGCCTTGCCCAACAGAGGCTCAGTGCTTTTTTGCCTCCTGAGATGATGCTGTAGCAGTACCCATCTCAGCACTGCCTGTCTGTGGTGCTGTGTTGTCAGCCTGTAAAACCAGCAGAAGACAGCTTCTGCTCATGTTTTACAATTATCCATAGATTTAAGGAGAAAGAATAGAAATGTCTGGTTGTGACGATTATGTCTCATTTGTCCTTTGCTAAACAGGGTTGCAGTTTTGGACAAAGTTACAGACTTCCTTCTATTTCTGGGGAAAATCCTTGTTGCTGGTGGTGTAGGTAAGCTGCTTGTTTGTTTTCTAAATGGTATGCTTTATTTTCTGGTACCCACAAGCATGCCTGCCATATTCATATATGCTTAGTTAGCAGCTGGAGGTTCTCATTTGTCTAACTATTTGGAAATCTGTTTCTGTATTTCTAGGATTTGCTAGATTGATCTAAAACCAATTTTTTCCCTTTCTCCCCCCTGCCCAGCACTTGGTTTGCCTTGACAGTGTCTTTTCCATAATTGCTTTTACAGCTTTTGAATGTGTGGCTGGTGCAAGGACTTCTGCAGCCACATCATCATAGTTGAATCAAACCAAATTCACATCCAATAAGTCAGCCACAGTCAGTTCTCCTTCTATAAGAACTGAACAAAATTGCAAATGGTCACTTGGTAACAGACAATTGCCTATAGATGTGGTGGTACAGGTCTGCAGGACCTGAAGCTTTGCTGAATTTGAGCCCCTTATATCTATAAGCTATGGTAAAAGAAACAGGGTATTTGTAGCATCCTTATAGGGTTTTCTTTGTTATCTGTAGATGTCAAATAGATTATTCAGTAGAGTAGTTATCAAGTAGACTATTCATGGTATTTTGTGACAGAAAAGTGTTTTTCTATCTTTTAAATGAAGCACTTTCAGAAATTCAGGTTGGCAGTGTTCTGTTGTGGTTTTTCCAAATTGTCACAGCAGTTTCACAAACCTATTTTACATATAGCCATATTTTGCATTCTGTATACTTTCAAAGTTAACTAATTAATTCTATTTTAATCAAAAGTAAAACTAGTACAAGAGCTGATATAAAGTGTTTTGTCATCACTGTAGAATTACAGTATTTATTAATTTTGCTGTTAAATTCAGTAGAATAGTGAAACAAAACAACTCATTACAGTCTTTCTGGGCCCATTAATATCTTTATGGTAATTGATTAATTTACATATCTCTTCTGTTAGATAATTGGTATTGAAGAATGTATTGTTTACAAACTTTTATTGAAACCAGCCCTGGATCTGTTTTCTGTCTTATCCATTCTTTAGATCCTGGGAAATTAGAGCTAGCATGGAAATAACTAATTGCCTGTGCTTCTTGCAGGTGTTCTTGCATTCTTTTTCTTCACACAGAGAATACCAGTCTTTGCACAGGAAGTGCCAATGCTAAATTACTACTGGGTACCATTGTTGGTAAGGCAACCATTTAATTTCCTGCATGCCTGGGGCAGTTTGAGGTGCTCAGACTACTCAGGGCATGGTCTGGTAACAGCTTCTCTGGTCAGCGTCTCAGTGGCCTAGTATCCACTCTAGTGAGAACTGAGCTGCTGCCCTCCAATCCTTGGGATCCTTCAGGCAGAAGTGGCACTGCAGTGGCTCTGAATCTTCAGAAAAATTAGGTTTCACATTTCCTCAGACTTCCCAGACAGCAAGACACTGATGACAGTGTGGCTTCTAATGGAAGGGACTTGCAATGCATCTCTCTCTCCTTTTGTAAGCCCCCCCTTAAATTTCAGAACATCTCTGAGTGATTCTTGAAGGAGTTTAGAATATTCTTGGCATGTATTCTCCTCAGAGGTTGAAATAATTTCAGTTTGGAGCTATTTCCAGCTGGAAAACTAGAAGCTACTACATGTTAGGATGCAGTGTCTTGAACTTGTGATCCCTGTCCACAGCACCGGTAACCTTTGGTAGAAATACAGAGCTGAGATTAAATTCTTCTAAATTTGCATAGCAGACTAGGCTTCCAACTTGTGTTATTACTACCACAGTGGTGCTGAAAGAAATTTGGGGGTTTATTGTGGTTTGTTTTTTGTAGACGGTCATCATTGGCTCCTACTTAGTTGCACACGGGTTCTTCAGCGTCTATGCAATGTGTGTCGACACACTTTTCCTCTGCTTTTGTAAGTACTACTTTTCAGTATTACCTGCAAGTCATGGAAAGAGGAGTAAAAAATCATCTTATCCATCCTTCCAGACTCAGAAGTCTGGTGACATACTAGCAAACTCTATGAAAAATTAGCAGCCTCTTTTCATACTGGCTCTGTGATACGGTCTTCCATGCTTTAGTGTTCAAATTTAATTACTTTAAGAAGTGTAAAGTAGCTTTATGGTTTATAGAAATATCTGGGTTTTGTTTTTCAGATGTTCCTTAAATTTCATTAAGTTTGCTTCTGGGTGCTTTGTGAAGAGTCAGTCCTGTACAGTATTGATTTGCTTAAGTGTCTTGACAGTAACGAATATATTCTTTGGTATATAGATGGCACTTTGTTTTCAGTTTAGTAACCCTGAGCAAAGTATTATGCTGAATTACCTTTAAAGATTCTGTGAAATACCACTTGAAGCTAACTGTCTCTTGGACTCCCAGTGGCAACCAATCAAAGGGACTGCTGTTCAGGCTGCCCAGATAGAGAATACTAAAATTACAAAAGAAATCTGCTGCTCTTGAATTGGGATATGATTATAAGAAGCAGGTGTCCTTAGCATGTAGTACCTTCCATGTGCTTTATTTTTCTATAATGAAAGCCATTCTGGTAGGTCCAAGTGTGTTGCCATGTGGCAGGACACAAGTAGAAGTTAGTTACATGGTAGTGGTTGTTCTTGCAATTTGAAAATTATTTGATAATACTAAGGGAAATAGTCATAGGCTTCATCTTCAATAAATGTACACTATGGATTACTGAAGTGGGGCAAACATGGTAATACTGATTCTTTAAACACTTACTTAACCTCACTTCCATAGAAACTAAGGTTAGCAGGGATTCTGAAAAACCGGGTTGCCAAAGAATCACAGGAACAAGATCAGTTAGAAAACTCAAAATTGGTATTTAGTTGAGAGCTACATCCTATTTATCTCATTTTATGGGCTTTGGTTCTAAGCAACCATGATCACAGGCAAACATAGCACTAATAACACTCAGCTCCTACTTTTCTATACGGGAAAAAGTAATGTCTGCCTTGCTTATTCATATTCTGTTCTACTTCCAATGCTACCATTAAGTAATGAACAATAGATCAGATAGAATATTATTAATTCACGGCAACAGGTTCTCAAATAAACTTTATCTTAGGCAGTGAAAAATGGTCCAGTTTTAGAAAGTGCTTAACTCCATGGCGGTCTTTGTGACACATTTTCTAGCAAGAGATTTCCAAAATAGCAGGGTTCATTGAAGGAATGAGAGTTTTGAAAGTTTCTACCTATACTGCCAAACCAAAGATCTGGAGAATAAAAGGGGTATATTGCTATCATTAAAAAATGACAAGATGTTTGTGTCTCTGCATCATGTGAAACCTCTTGTGGTCTAAGAAAATAGAAATTTTATAATGTCATTCATCAACCTAATAATAAAGCTAAATTACCTTGATTGCATTTCTTTTAATGTGGGGTCTATTGCTCTCTCCTTTTTTCAATTCTTTTTGTGTCTCTGTGTGTGTGGTTGTACTGCTGTTTCCTTTTTTGACTGGTCTGGCTGTGTAAATTCAGGTGAAGACCTGGAAAGAAATGATGGATCTACAGCAAAACCCTACTTCATGTCAGCTAGCCTCCACCGAATTCTAGGGAAGAAGAAACTAAGCCCTAAGAAGGCAGCAGGATAATGAACACTAAACCTCAACATCAAAAAGTGTCACTTTTAAGCAAAACGTGTATAAAGTAGGCAAAAGTAAAAACTGTAAATGATGCTTCTGGTTAATGGCTGATTCTTTTTTCCTTTTGCTTATATTAAAAAAAAAGAGCAACATTAGTAACATTTAACTAGTTTAAATGTTTAAACTAACAGCTGTGAAAACAAGGCCACATTTTAGTTTATAGAGTGCCTATGAAAAGGAAAATGTAAATTTGAAACTTTTATAAGTGTATGATGTTTTAATAACTTTTGTAATACAAGTTGCTGCCTTAGATGACAGCAGTTTTGATAATGTTTCTTACAAGTGTATATTTGTAAAAGAAATTCAGGCGATTTTTGAAAGCACTAACGTATAACCTAATTAGCCATAAAAAAAGATAGTTTGAGACTCCAGTTAACGAGGAGATGGTACTAAATTTGTAAATATGGTGCTATGATTGTATTTTTTTGTACAAGCTGGTTTGCAGCTATTTAAACTGTGATTATACATGCATTAATGATTTCCTACACTGAAAAATGTAGTGATATTTTAATCACGTCCACAACTGCATCTTTTAAGACATGATGGTACCCTGCAGATCCCAAAGAAGGTAGTCAGAAAATACTCAAGTTGATACTGCTTAAAGTGAAGTTTTATGGGAGTTGTGCTTAAAAGATTATGTAACTGAGAGAAGGTCACACTGCAGCTGAAGTGATTTGTGGTTTACACAAATGAGGTTTCATCTGGTACAAGATGGTGAATGTATAATTTTTAGCTGATGTCTAAGAGAGATGCACATGTATTAACATCCCGCTAACCCTCACAAGTCTCTGATTGTGTTCTGTGTTACAGGGAGGTTGAGCTTCACTGAAAGGAAAACTAAATGCAGTCCTTTTTTCGTTGAACGAAAGCCTTCACTCTGTGTGCGTGCACAAGGAGTTCCATTGCCTCTGCCTAGCTTAGAAGGGCTCCAAGCCATTGGAATGACTTTGCAGGTGCAGAGGGCTGGGGCTGCACTTCCTGCACGTCTCCGTGCTCCCAGTGGCTCACACAGTGAGGTACTAGGACATTGAACTCAAATCTTCTCGTGGTACAGAATGAATTATTCAACTACTGAAAGATGCTCTGAGAGATTTAGTTTGCTTTTTGATTGTTAGATTTGCCCAGTCATCAGTACAAAGTCATTAATACACCTATTGGTAGAAAGCACATTAACGTTCGGTGGCGTTTGTGACCCTCCCAGTAGTGCAATTGTCACTGCCATTAGTAACAGCTCTGCTGATGGAAAAAGTCTTAACACTGGAGAGTTTATCAAGTCTGTTACTACCAAGATGGAGCTAAAAAGACTTTAATTTATTAGTCTCCTGGGGGAGCCAAGGACCCAGACATACTGAGGCCTGCCCCTACTTTTAATGGATTCCAGTGGATTGAAAAAGTTATTCCAGTACTTTCCAGGAGTGCCATGTGCCATACATTTGCCAGTTCTGTGACAGGAGTTTAGCACCTGGAAATACTTTTCTAACCCTAGATGTTCATTGGTGTCACAAAAAGAAGTGCAAATTCTTTTCCAGATGATTTGAAGGCAAATTTCTGGGGAAAGTTTACTGACCATCTACATCCCAATGGGATTTTGCTCTCTAACTTACAGCTCTGGTTTGTGATGTCTGTGATCACTGCAAAGGCAGTAATACTGTCCTTCATGCCATGGGTCTGGGGTCATGTTGATGCACAAGTGACCACCATCCACACCCTTGCAGTCATGGGCATGGTAAGATCTTGAAATTCAGTGACCTGAGGTGCAGGTGGGAGTATCCTTGTAAGCTTTCTCTTTGGTCCAATGTATGCTGGAGTCTTTTCCCTGAAGCAAAAATGAGGAGTTCAGTTTAGGACTCCAATAATGTAAAATAAAGGCATATGGTTTCAAATATAGCTACTGATTATAGGCAGCTTTAGATTTTGGTAACCCCTCCTGAGATACCCTAGAGGAAACTTGACTTTTAGAAAGGACTGGGATTTCCACCTTTGGGGAAAAGAAAGGACTCCCGAGAGATTAAGTTTTTCATCATTGTCATCGTCATCATCATCATCATCATCATCATCATTCCTTTCTCATTATGTGCATGGATTACACCCCCCCCCCCCCATGATTCTAATATTTTTTGAGAATGAAGTCAGTAACTTTTGGGGGTATGTGTAACCATTCTGTGATTAAAGAAGCTGTTGATCTTGTTACAATCCATGTTTTAAAACTTTTTTTTTTTTTTTTAAATACTAATGATTAATTTTCAGCTAAAGAAACTGCATTACATCATCTATATTTCTACTCGACTTGAGTGTCTTACTGGGAGCTCAATTGAAAAAGCATATTTCTGAATATGGCTTGCTTTTTTTATCATATGAATGTAACCACAGAGTTTACTAGGAATAAAACATAATAGGAAATAGTATACAGTTATTTGATTAGAAAACTTTTGTAACAAACCTATGCATTTACTAAAGGAATTTCTAAAAGTTAAAGTTTTAAATTGTATTATTATTTATATATGGTAAAAATTATATATATGTATAAGTTTGCTCCTCTCACTATTTTGTGAAAGTATTTAGAATGTAACTGATCATCATTTTTGAGAAGAAAATTTAAAAGCCATTTTCTTACGATGTAATTATGAGAACTGTGAAAATACAAAGCAATACCATGTAGATTTTGTAATCAATAAATTCAGTAAGTAGTAATTATTTAATATTAAAATTGGCTTTCTGGAAATAAATTACAAATAATTAGTCAAAATAATACAAATATTTACTTGGGAAAGGTTCGCCTAAGATATTTGAAGACTATCTTATTATAATGGTTCCTAATTAATCCTGTGGGCCAGAGTCTGCAGACGCACACCACAGAGGAGGTACTAATATTGACGTTTGTGGATTTGGACTTTTACTTTGTTGCTTGCTTTAAAATGAAATGAAAAATTGCTTTTTTTCCTGTGGAGAGTGGAACACGGTAAAATGTGCCGTGTGCTTTGCTGCTGAGCCCACCAGGGCTGGTGACACCGTGCCCACAGGGCACCAGTGCCCTGGGTCCGTGCTCACGGTTGGATGGATGTGGGCGTGGGAGGCCAGGACCAGCAGGCTCCAGGGCATGCCAGGGCCGTGCCAGGGTCGTGCCAGGCGCCTTCTCCCTGCCAGGAACTGTGCAAAGCAGGTGGATCTGAAGAGAGACCCTTTCACATGAGCAGAAAAATAAACATTCTCTAAATCACAAACAAGTGGAATGCAGAAACCAAGACAGTAGAAAGAACCTGCTATTACATCCATGTGATCACGTTTGTTTAGTTTGGTTTGGATTCGTTGTATCTCCCTAAAGCATATTACTGAATGGCTTTCATTTACATGTTTTATACCAAAGTTTTAATGTCAAGCCTTCAAATTTTGTAAGAAAAAAAAAAAAAACCCACCACAAAAAAACCCAGCAAAAAACCACCACACACACACACACACAAAACCATCAAAACAAACAAAAAAAACCCCGTGGAAACAAAACACAGAAACAAGAAGATAGAATAATTTCTTCTGATGAGGATTTTTTTTCCAAACAGTATTCAGCAGATGATTCTTGGATGATCCAAGGATGCTGAATATTCCTTTAAATGTTAGTATTCTATGAAATATTTCACTATTGCATGTTCTGCTGTAGAACAGGAAAAATATTTTGGTGGATGCAATGTCAGGCTGATTCTTCAATTGTAAGTAAGTGTTCTTCCACAAGTGGGCTGTCAGAGAAATGGTTATGAAGAATAAACTGACTGTTTTTGAATAACCTAGAATGTCTCCCTTTGACCAGTTGCTCAGCCTGAACAGCTGTATCCTTGCAGACAAAGTGCCTTACTGGCTGTTACTTTACCTGGATTATATTTTGAAATTCATTTATACCATGTAGACTACAAAACAGAAAAGGCTAGAGAGGAAAACCAACACTTTATTTCAAATTGACTAACAAAAAATCAACTGTAGTAAGGATGTCAGGTGTGTTTGCACTGTGTGATGCAGCACACTGTTGCTGTTGAGAGATTATGAAAATTGATGGTGTGGTCCAGGAGAAAATGTAACAATAGTGTTGCAAATAAATGAAAATAGTGCAAGACTGTTCCATTTTTATACAGTAGATTTTTTAAATAGCTTTAATTTGTGATATAGTGGACTTCTGAGTAGGGCCTATTCTGCTTTCTGTTTACAATGATCATGTGTATTGTAGCTGTGTAACTGTGGGTAGAACTGGGCTCTTACTACTTACAACACAAGGAGTAAAGCTAAAAATTGCATATATATTACTGTAATACATCTATTTGTGTGTTTATAAGCATAAGGTTCCTTCTCCATTTCAAGACTGATAATTTCCTATTCTGGAACTGTTTTATAAATTGTTCTAAATTTTTAAACTTTTGATACAGGCAATGATTTTTGGGGTAATTTGTAATTTGTACTGCACTGTAAGCAATTGAAAATGAGTGTTTCTTCATGTTCAAGTAATACTAGTACTATTAGTATTAAAATTATCTGTTACCCTATGCTACAAAGTGTCCACATGCATTTGTCCCAAATAATGAGTTTTAAAGCCATAGCAATGGCTCTTTGAGGTTTAAGAAAGGAAAGGTAGGTTTTATTAATATGATTCTTAAGTGATGTTTTGTCAAAACCGAATTAACACGAGCATGATGATTTGAGCTCTAAATCCTGTTGCTTCTGCTATGCAGAAATAGAATCCAATTGTTTAAATATCTTTGATAACGGAAGTGTTTAATTCTGTTCCACAGTTGTTGGGGATTGTTCTAATAAAGATTTCGATACAACCGGAGTGCGTCTGCGCCGCGCCGGGCTGTCCGCGGGGCCGGGAACGGGGACGGGGAGGGGGCCGAGAACGGGGCGGCTCCGGCTGCGCTGGGGCGGAGCGGGGCGCGGTTGGTGCCGCCGGGCGCGGTTGGGCCGTGCGGGGCCGTGCGGGGCGCGCTTGGTGCGGTTGGTGCCGCGGGGCGCGGGGCCGTGCGGGGTGCGGTTGGTGCCGCCGGGCGCGGTTGGGCCGTGCGGGGCGCGGGGCGCGGTTGGTGCCTCCGGCGCGGGGCGCGGTTGGTGCCGCCGGGCGCGGTTGGTGCCGCCGGCGCGGGGCGCGGTTGGTGCCTCCGGCGCGGGGCGCGGTTGGTGCCGCCGGCGCGGGGCGCGGTTGGTGCCGCCGGCGCGGGGCGCGGTTGGTGCCGCCGGGCGCGGTTGGTGCCGCCGGCGCGGGGCCGTGCGGGGCGCGGGGCGCGGTTGGTGCCGCCGGGCGCGGTTGGTGCCTCCGGCGCGGGGCGCGGTTGGTGCCTCCGGCGCGGGGCGCGGTTGGTGCCGCCGGGCGCGGTTGGTGCCGCCGGCGCGGGGCGCGGTTGGTGCCTCCGGCGCGGGGCGCGGTTGGTGCCGCCGGGCGCGGTTGGTGCCGCCGGCGCGGGGCCGTGCGGGGCGCGGGGCGCGGTTGGTGCCGCGGGGCCGCGCGGGGCGCGGTTGGTGCCGCCGGCGCGGGGCCGTGCGGGGCCGTGCGGGGCGCGGTTGGTGCCGCTGGCGCGGGGCCGTGCGGGACCGTGCGGGGCAGCCGCTGCCGCGGAGGAGCCGAGCAGACGAGGCCCCCGGAGGGGCCGCGGCTCCTGCTCGGAGGGGAATTCTGGGGTTTAGTTATAAAGGACGGTGGATTGCTTGTTGCATTTTTTCATTTAAATTTAGTTATTTTTTTAAACAATGTAATAATAAACTATACTGGGTTTTGTCTGAATCTGAGTTGAGATCTTACATGAAGCAAGGTGTATGGCTGAAATGATACCATAGAACTCAGTAGAAATCTTTTTTGGATTTAGGAGGCTCACAGTCATATTTTCCCCTGTCTTTGTGAGAAGTGAAGAAACCTTTACTGTACGCCATGAGTTGGCTGAGCATCACAGGCGGATGACCTGTGGCAGATGACTCCCAATCCGGCCAGTTTGCATATATTTTTCTGGAGGACAGAAAAAGAAAAAGGCCACCACCAAGCCCCATGCAAAAGCTTTTCGGGGATGGGGATGGAATTCAGCAGACATAGCAGTGGAGCACTTATTTTGAGTAGGGGAAAAGGAAGAGTTTGTACTCAAGGTTAAGGTATGCCTTGTAAATCGTTCCAGTCCCCGTGGGGAGCCTTGTCTGAGGTTGCTTCTGGCATTTAGCATTCCCTGCAATGAGACCTTGAATTAGCAAAGCAAGTTTTTGAGTTAGCAAAGAAAGCTGGTATGGCTGTGTGTTTGGGATTCAGTGGCTGGATAGTGAATATATGCAGACATAGAGTCTGTGTACGCATAGTTGCAGCATATATCATTTAAGGGAAAATGAGTGTGTATGAGGCTTATACTATATGATGCTATTTTTTGCAAGGGTTAAATGCTATCAGCTTTGGTGGGGAGACTGGTTGATTTGTGCTCTCCAGTCACTGACCGTGAGTAGCAGTGCTTGTTCGGCCCAGGCCTGTGCCACAAGGGGTGGTAGGCAGCTGCTGAAAAAGGGATTTTGTGACAAAGTTGTGGGTTTGATCCCAGTGTGGGCTCTTCACCTAAGAGTTGGATTTGATCTTTGAAGATCCCTTCCAACTCAGAACATTTTGTGATTCTGTGAAAGCAAATGCTTGTGGAGAGGAGAATGACACAGTCTAGGAGGTTTAGATGTGGGCCAGTTCAGTACAAATTACAGTGAAAGGTGAACAAGTAAAAGTGATCTTTAGAGGAATATTGGTGTTCCCTGAGCCCAGGTTAGCAGCTAGACTGACTGAGACCATGCCACATGGGAAGAGGTACATTACAGTTGCTTGGAAGAGATAAAAGACCCTACTGTTCTATGGTTAATCTCCATGACAGTGTAGTTACTTTTGTTTCCCTTTTATTTGTTTTGGGTTTTTTTTCATTTTAACATTTAATCTGATGCAAATTTGGCAAACAAAACCTTCATACATTTTGTTCTGTAAAGCATTTCTGTAAAGCTCAATTTTTTTTTCAGTCCAGAAAGTAACAATGGCAGTAAAGCATTTTGTAGG